CCGCGGTCAGGGGCTCGTTCGCGTACACACACTGCACTCTCCGCTTGGTGCAGCGAGAGCAACCGGGGTGTACCGAAGATCGGCAACTTGTGCTTGGACTTGGCACAAGCAGCACCAGGACCGCCGGAGAGTGCGGCGCATTTCGGGAGGGAGATTAGAGGGTGGAAGCTGGTTGCGGGGTTGGTTCAGGTGGTCCCTGATGGAAGTTGGCACTAAAGGAGGTGCAAAGGAATTCCAGACTAACCTATTTCGTAGTGCAGGTAACAATGGGTGGAATATGTGAGTGAACAAGTTGTAACCGGGCTGTCGTTACCAGGAAAGGTCGAAAGGATGGAGATGTTTCCACTGCTGTCCTACACGAGGATTTTGGGATGATCTACGGCTTGGTGTCGTTTCAAACCGGCCACCGCTCGATCAATGGCAACCCGGCGATAACGCGACGCAAATTTGCAGATTTCGTGGACGTTTCTGAATCTTTGCTTCAGCGTCTCAACGAACGGAAGCGGGCCAGGAACGAAGGTGTGGATGAGCAGACCACGAAAAGGCGAGAACCATTCCAACCTGGCCGTAATAGGACTAGTCTCCGATTTCATGGCCTTGGCATTGAATTACACACAGTATTCGGAGTCTAGTCCTACTTCGGCAGTTGAAATTGGAGCTTCTCCGGCGGCCCGGAGGACCAACCCCGACACCCCTATCTCGGGGCCGAAAAGTGTGTAAGTCAAAAAGGTATGAAGCGTCCGGTTTTCCACAATTTGGTGGTGGGAAGTTTGTCTCTTCAACCCCGATTTCAAGATGGCTGCTGACCACGTCAACGCGTCCAGCTCAACCCCCGAGCTGCTCATGAGCTCCTCAGGGTTGGCTTCCGGGAGTTCATCATGGCAGTTTCGGGATGGTGTTGTGGGTATAACTGCAGAATGGTCTGCATGGCAGTACGTTATCACGCTTCTGCTCGGACTGGTGGTTTATGACCAAGGTATGTGACCTCGCAAGCTAGCTGACCCTACGGAATCGTTAACACCTTGTGCAAGTCATGTACTTGTATCGAAAAGGTTCTATCACAGGTCCTCGGTTCAAGGTTCCCTTGACCGGGCCTTTCATCCAAGCTTTGCATCCAAAATTCGAATCATATCTAGCACAATGGGCGAGCGGTCCACTCAGTTGCGTCTCTGTCTTTCACAAGTATTACCATGTCTCCACGTTCCCCTTATACACATTAATCTGACGCCTGTTGCAACAGATTCGTTGTCCTCGCCTCAGACCGCGAACTCGCCCACAAGGTCTTCAAGTCCCCAACCTACACCGAACCGTGCATTGTGCCACTCGCAAAAGACATCCTTGGCCATAAAGCATGGGTGTTCCTCCAGGGCAAGGCCCACGCCGAGTACCGCCGGGGGCTGACTCCCCTTTTCACCAACAAAGCCATGGCCACCTACCTGCCCGCCCAGGAGAAGGTGTTCGCCGACTACTTCGACAAGTTCGTCGCGGCCAGCCAGGCCAACGTCAACCAGCCGCTCCCCTTCATGACCCTCTTCCGCGAGATCAACTGCGCCCTCTCCTGCCGCACCTTCTTCGGCGACTACATCTCCCCAGCGGCGGTGAAAAAGATCGCCGACGACTACTACCAGGCCACGGCCGCCCTCGAGCTCGTCAACGTGCCCTTCTCCATCTACATCCCCTTCACCAAGCCCTGGCGCGGCAAGCGCACCGCCGACGCCGTGCACGCCGAGTTCGCCAAGTGCGCCGCCGCCTGCAAGCGCAACATGGCCACCGGCGCCGCCCCGACGTGTATCGTCGACCACTGGGTGCGCCACATGTTCGAGTCCAACCGCTACCGCGAGCGCGTCGCCGCGGGGGAGACGGACGTCGAGAAGCCGTCGAATCTAATCCGCGAGTTTACCGATGTGGAGATCTCCGAGACGCTGTTCACCTTTTTGTTTGCCTCGCAGGACGCCTCCAGCAGCGCTACCACGTGGTTGTTTCAGATCCTTGCCCAGCGTCCTGATGTGTTGGACAGGCTACGCGAGGAGAACCTTGCCGCGAGGGGCGGAGACAGGAACAAGCCGTTTGACCTGGCGATGCTGGAGTCTCTGACCTACACCGCGGCCGTCGTCAAGGAGCTGCTGCGATACAGGCCACCGGTCATCTTCGTTCCGTACTTGGCGACCAAGGCCTTCCCCATCACCCCTGACTACACGGTCCCCAAGGGTGCCATGGTCATCCCGTCGTGTTATCCCGCGCTGCACGACCCCAAGGTGTATCCCAACCCGGACACGTTTGATCCCGACAGGTGGATTACTGGGGATGCTGAATCCAAGACCAAGAACTGGCTGGTGTTTGGCGCTGGAGCGCATGACTGCCTCGCGAGGAGATATGTGCCACTCACTATGGCGGCCATGATTGGGAAGGCGGCTCTGGAGCTGAACTGGAAGCATGTGGCCACGGAGAAGTCGGAGGAGATTCGTGTCTTTGCGACACTGTTTCCTATGGTGAGTGCTCGTTCCAGGAATCTTGATTAACCGCTGTGCTAACTCTTGTTGCAGGATGGTGCGCAGTTGGTGTTTGAGAAGCGCCCGTGACGGAAATGACCCCTGATGAGCACGCCCAGGAAAGGTTAGAGCAAACACAATGGGACACTCACGCGCAAGAGAGGCGTAAAACTAATAGTATCAATAATTTATATGAACCATTTGCCGGTCTGTTGATACCAATCATTACAGAACCAGGCTATTCCTCTTTTTCCCCTTTCCCTCCTTGCCTTTGCCCTTTCCCTTGCCCTTGCCTTCACGAGGAGCCAACTCGGTCTCCGTGATGTACTGTCCGTCTCCGGTATATCTCCACTTCGTGAAGTACGCATTGGGCGTATCAGCGGGGCAGTCAACACCCTCCCCAGCACCATTGCAGGTAGCATACACCCCGACCAAGGTCCCGACGAACGATCCCGAACCACCACTCAACAACTTGGCCGAGGCCGTGCCCAGCTCAACCTTTTCCTTGGGGTCAGACGCCAGCGAAGCCGAGAAGGTGTACTCGGTGGGCTCAGCCATCTTGATCCCCAGCTGGACCTTCTCGCCCGCCCACGCCTTCGGCACAGCGCTCTCCTTCACCTCACCGGACACATTAAACCTAAAGCTCAGCTGCCCATCCACCTGCACCACACCCAACTGCAGGTTCGCATTCTGCGTCAAGAAAGCCGTCACACCCGCCTCCTGACCATCAGCCACCGGCTCAAAGTCTAGATCCACGCTGAACGTAAACAGACTATCCGTCTGGCGGCGCCCAATAAACGAAACCGCCCTCGCCTCCGGCTCCGAACCACCCGGCAGCCCAGCAAGCGTATTCCTATTCAGCACCACCCGCAACCCCTTTCCACCCTCGGCAACAGAGAACGCCCCCTCCCTCGGCACGCGCCAGTACACCAAATTCCTCGGCAGCTCCTCCGCCGCATCCTTAAAATCATACACATCCGGATCCGCGTTGAACGGCCCCGTGCCCGGCACGTCGCGCGACTGCGGCGGCAGCGCCCAGCCCTCCATCCTGCCGCGCACCGGCTGCAGAACGGGCCAGTCGCCGTCGCGCCACGTCACGGGGAACAGCACCGTCTCGCGGCCCATCGGGTACGACTCGTACGCGGGCCCCGAGCGCGTCGCCAGCGCCGTGCCCCACCAGTTGCCGGCCGCGTCCTGGAACAGGTCGCCGTGCCCGACGGTTTGGAAGTACTCGTCCGTGCCGCGGTTGGTGAGGATTGGGTTGTTGGGGGAGGGGGTGTACGGCCCCGTGAGGGATTTCGACCGCGCGATGGTGATGGCGTGGTCGGTGGCCGTGCCGCCCTCCGCGATCATCAGGTAGTAGTAGCCATCGGGGCGCTTGTAGATGTGTGGCCCTTCGGGCCAGACGCCGCCCGTGCCGTTCCAGAGCGGGATCATGGGCCCCATCTCGCCCGTGTCGAGGTTCATTTCTTGGAGCTGGCAGCCCTGGGTGGCGACGTAGGCTGTGCCGTCGTCGTCCCAGAAGAGGTCCGGGTCGATCTTGGGGGCGGGGAAGGTGACGGCGTCGCTCCAGGAGGCGTCGTCGAAGGGGTCGGTGGTCCGGAAGAGCACGCCGGCTTCTTTGCCCTCGACGTCGAGGTACTCGCAGATGACGTAGAAGGTGCCGTCGCGGATGCGGATGGTGGCCGCGTACATGCCGTCTTGCTGGTCGCGGGTGTTCCAGCTGTAGCCGGGGAGCTGGGACTCGCGGTTCCAGACATGGCTGACGTGCTTCCAGTTGATGAGGTCCTTGGAGGCGTAGATGGGGAGGCCGGGGAAGGAGATGAAGGTGGAGGTGACGCAGTAGAAGGTGCCGTCGACGTGGATGCAGGATGGGTCCGAGTGCCAGCCGGGGAGGATCGGGTTGTAGTAGGTTGAGTTCGCCGCCGCTGCTGACCCGGCCAGGGCCAGCGTCAAGCCAGACGCGAGTCTCATGGTGGAGTGGAATAGGCAATGGAGAAACTACTGATTAATAGCCCATGAGCTCTGGATCAGAGAACTGTAAGGCATCTAGAGCTTGGGAACGGGCCCCTGGTGAAATATATATCCCTTCTTGTTCCTATCTTGCCACGGCCTCCTGCTCGAATATGCATGCCCGCATCACCACCGCTATGCCAAGACGGCTGATCGTTGTTTACGCTGGCGGTCTTTTAGTTGATTCGGGCGCATCGATACCAACCGGCCGGTAAATTCGATGGCTAAATCGTTAATGTGGCCCCCAGTCGCAGTACCTGACATGGTTGGGATATCGACCGACCCGGTTCCCGGATTTAACACTTCCGTCAATGGGCGAGAGGGGAAATCTGGAGGAGCGAGGAGCGTTAGCCAGGGTCGTATGGAGTGGAACTAGTTAATGGGGGAAGTAACTTGTTTAGGTAACTTGGTCGAGATCACGAAGAGAGTGGGTGGGTTCCCTCGCATCCTTTAGAATGAAAGCCAATGAAGTTTGAAGTAAATACCTTTCTATCCTTCAGACAAAGGAACATTTACGTTTATCCAGCTTCTGGGTCTAGTTTAGAAGCAGGGATGAGAGGCTTAGATCTGGAGCAAAGATCGACCGTTAGTCAGGCATTTTATACACACTTGTATGATTGGAGTCTTGGAAGTATCAGCAGACATGCCCCTCTAGCTGGAGTTTCAGTCTTGACTTAATGTTTGACTGTTGTAGTGTAAGCCCTTCAAGTGTTATGGGTGGATCACGGGGGCCCAGCCAGCCAGATGCTTCGCTTGCTGCCGATGGAACATCAGGTATGGCCCAACATCAAGTAACTATACTCCTCTGTGTCTCAGAACGGTCACTTTGGCGGAGTGGTTAACGCGCTGCCCTGCTAATCAACAGTTAGCATGTTAGGCAGTTCCTTCGGGAGCGTAGGTTCGAATCCTACAGGTGACGTGCTGTTTTGCTGTAGGGGGTGTTCCCCTTTTCGTTTTATGGCTATGTTTGCTTATTTTTATTGAGATTTCTAACACGATCAAATGGGATTCGCGGGGCATATTATAGGTACGTTAGCTAGAATGAAATTGAAACTCATGAATTGCTACTCTGCAAGTGGCGACAGAGTGCAGAGCGCGTAGGCTAAGTGAAAGCTTTGATCTCAAACGCATCAGACAGACCGCAGTCTTTGGAAGTCTAGGTCTCTCACTTTCGACCACTCTTCTCAGCTTCCTCCCTTGCAACTCTGCGCCAATGCTTGGGGTAGCCCCTTTCGATCCTCCAGTCCTCTACCTCCTTTTCCACTGCATGCAACATCCCCTCCCTCCATGTATCGATCATGTCTTGCCTCCAAGTCATGTCACCCCCAAAAGACCACGAGATGGCGCTCTCAGCTCTCGCACCATCGGGTGAGTCCAGCAACCCGACTGCCACATCCACGATGTCGGGTCGCTCATCCACAGCATAGAACAAGGTCGCTGAGCACCTGCCGCAAAAGTACCGCTGAACGTCGGGTGAACTGGCGTAAAACGTGATGGCACCGAGCCTGGGATCGCGGCCCTCACCATCCTTTAGCTCGGTAGCAGCTTTCAGCTGCAGAGTATCGGCAGGGAAGCCCTCCTGGTTGGCCCCCGCGAACGAGATATGTTTGAGCTTCGCAAAGGTCCAGTTGTACACCTCAGACCCGGCTGCCGTCCGGCACGAGTCGCAGGCATCCAGCGAGCCGAGCCCCTTGTGCGTGGTAGGGTCAATAAACCAAGGCAGCTCCCCACCCTGCCGCTGGGTCTCCTGAAACTCCCTCTGCGCCTCACCCGCCCGCAGCACCAAATCGATCCCACCACAATGGCACCGAATCGGCACATCCCCCGCCCCGCCCACGTTCTCCTTCAACCCAACCTCATACCCCTTCACCCCCTCCACCCCATCCACCGGCGGCCACCTCACCCCAGCCGGAACCTCTTCACTACCCTCCCGCCCGCCCAACCAAACCCTCGCCGGCGACACCTCCCCATCTCCCTCCCCACCGCACGATCCCACGCGTACTGTGTACAGGGGGAGGGGGCGGGTCATTACGGTGCGTCTCGATAGACATAATCTGGG